CCGACTGCTTGGATCACGTCGAGCCAGTCGTTGTAAGTCATCGTCTGGTTCCTGGCTATTGGGCAGGCTGGATTCAATAGTAGACAACTACTGGTACTAGCATTAGTACGAGTATCAGTGCTACTACTGGCATCAGTACAAGTACTACGAACAAGTACTAGTACTGGTGCCGGTACTGGTCCCGCACTAGTGCTAGTGCAAGTGCTAGTGCGCACTGGTGGTTCTTGTACGATACTGGTACCTGTCGTAGTGCTAGAAGTACGACTAATAGAGGCAGTAGTAAGAGTAGGAGTGGTAGTAGCAGTAGCAACAGCAGTCGCAGTAGCAGCATCAGCAGCGACAATGTGGTTGTTTCTGTGCTTGGAGTGTTCATCTGTAAAAAATCTATGTATTTTGCAGAAACATTTACAATCGTGAATCTAATTATCCTTTGCAGATACGGTACAATCGTAGCCCTAATTGTTGTTTGCAGAAACAGTACAATCGTTACTTTAATTATCCTTCTGGTATATCAAGTCCCGGTTTGGACCGCAACCATGTTCCATCAGACCCACCAAGCAAGTGTGGATAATCCTGTTGCTTTTGCGGCCACGCGGCTCGCACTGGAAAGATGCATTCTGCGCATAGAAATCGACAAATCTCTTGGTCAACTGTGCCGTCTGGTCACTGGACCTTCGGGAAAGTCGATGCTGTTGGGGTCAACTGCAAAGTGAATTCGGCTTGCCAATTAACAAACTCCAAGACCCTGCAGCGGGCGCTGAACTTCGCACCCTGAAATCGGAAGCCCGAGTGCACTGGGAACACTGAACCGACGATACTGCCAAGGTTTAAGGTGGAGGCCCGGCGGTGTCCTGACGCTCCAAAGCCTGAAAAAACCACTATCTGCACCCTCGAGGACGGTCCTTCCGAATCCCAAGCATAGCTTGTCGTGGATCAGTGCTTAAAGCTTTTGGAAGCTTGCGATACCAACCCGCGCGAACCCAGAACGAGTAGAACGCAATGACATCATACAACAAACGAAACTGGGAAGACGCACTTCTGAGTTATGGGTAGGAGACAACCGGAACAGAATCGCCATAGATTTTTCTTCACGTATTAAGACGAGTAGCAACTCTAGGATGCACACGGGACCTTGTGAAATTAAATGCCTGCATAACCCAACCATGTTAAGCGTGATTTATACCCTCCGCTGTGTGGCTTGGTCTTGAGATTGCAAATGTAATCGAGCACTGAAAACAAAACATAAGAACTCACCAAAAGATTGGTTGTCTTCGTTGTCTCGGGTTGGCCTCTCGTCGACAGTGGTTTGTCCAAGTGTATCGCACGAAAGTTCTCCATTCAACCTTACCCAACATGTGGTGCTCCACGCAAAGGTAGAATTCTAGACGTTTGGTTGTCACGGATGCGACAACACTCAGCGCTTGGCACAACAAAGGCAAAAGTCGTGAGGGAAAACTGCGCAGAAGAACAACTACCTCACAGGCGTAGAAGTGCAGAGGCAGCATTCTAGGTCAACGTCGCACTCGGTTGCACCGTGCGTTCTGTGGTAGAGATCGTGAAGGCGGCGGTAGAGGGCTCAGCTGCTGTTGCCTTTCGCGTCGGGCGTGTCCGCACGTGCTGTCGCAAGCCAGGAAACCGCCTCCTCCGCACGCAGGCCTATGTAATGTTCGCAGGTACCTCAGAAGAAACTTCAAGAAGGCGTAAATGAAATCTCTGCGATACCAGGAACCCAGGCTGCTAATCTTCCCATGCCTTTGGCTGGGCCACCGGACGCACTGAGCGCACTCAGTGCAGCAGTGCTGCCAGCCATCGCTGCCTGAGCATCCGCCAGTACGACCTGGCTTCGAGTATGAGCGCGGGACCCTTGCATCCAGGGCGAAAAGGATCTAGACTTCAGACTGTCAGGGACCCGAGCATAAACACGTTGCTGGATGATGCTCCGAGGACTGAGAATCGTTATGGATTGTCAAGCTCAAGAAGATGGGAAGCTCTTGATTTTCCCGATTTGGGCAGATCCCGGTACAGGGCGCTGAAGTGCACGCATGCTCCACCGAATTTCCGAGCGAATCTACCGGGAAGCCTTATCATAAAACCAAGTCAAGTTTTTGAAGCCATGATGATTGCCCATCGCCTTTATCGCATGGAACTTGGGATCTCTCAGCCTGCTCCGAGCTCGTTGCCATGCTGGACTGCGACATGACCACGACCACACGCTGCTTGCGGAAGTGTCCCCTCTAGGGTTGCGGCTGCCCAGAGAAACTCTTGCACGAGGCGACCAAGGCCTACAAATATCTAAACCCGAACATCTGAAAACCCTCAACTCTGATGGGTGCGGCGCCTTTTTGAAAACCCACCTGAGTTCCACTTTCCCTCCAAACGGTAACGAAGAACCCTCCAACCTGAGAACCTGAAACATGATGCCGACCTGGAAATTTGCGTAGATCTGCTGCATGAACTGCACCTGGATTGCACGTGCTGCTTGAATCTCTGTTGCAAAGCCCGCGTGGAAGGACTTGGGACAAGAAGGATCGTGGTCACAGTAGTAGTACGTCCCCAGAGCGGGGTCTAGCTTTGGCCTGCTCGTGGCTTTCCTACATGGCTTGCAGATACTTCCAGTCAGGGCAACGTTGCATAGAAGTCACAGTCAACGTTCAGTCAACGTTCAGTCAACGTTACAGTCAACCTTACAGTCAACGTTGCGAAAATGCTGGCAGGGGCAGCATTTTGGAGTTTTCAAGCATAAAAAGCAAGAAATACATGTATTTCTTGCTTTTTATGCTTGAAAACTCCAAAATGCTGCCCCTGCCAGCATTTTCGCAACGTTAACTGGAACGTTGACTGTAACGTTGACTGAACGTTAACTGAACGTTGACTGTACGTTAACTGCAAATTCCTACCAAATGTAGCAAAGTTGTGGAATTCTTGCGATTTTAGAATGACCTGGCTGCTGCGCAAGATGCACTGTCAGGGCTGCATGGCTCCATTAGCGAAGACAGCGACATGGACGCTGCTATACGGCGATTCAGATTTTGCTGCAATGGCATTTCATGGCAAGCCACACAAGTACGTCACGCACCATGTCACGACCCTCTAGAAACGTCATATCACGAGCCTCTAGAAACGTCATTACTCGAGTCGTCCCCAGAGCGGGGTCTAGCTTTGGCCTGCTCGTGGCTTTCCTACATGGCTTGCAGATACTTCCAGTCAGGGCAACGTTGCATAGAAGTCACAGTCAACGTTCAGTTAACGTTCAGTCAACGTTACAGTCAACGTTCCAGTTAACGTTGCGAAAATGCTGGCAGGGGCAGCATTTTGGAGTTTTCAAGCATAAAAAGCAAGAAATACATGTATTTCTTGCTTTTTATGCTTGAAAACTCCAAAATGCTGCCCCTGCCAGCATTTTCGCAACGTTAACTGGAACGTTGACTGTAACGTTGACTGAACGTTAACTGAACGTTGACTGTACGTTAACTGCAAATTCCTACCAAAAGTAGCAAAGTTGTGGAATTCTTGCAATTTTAGAATGACCTGGCTGCTGCGCAAGATGCACTGTCAGGGCTGCATGGCTCCATTAGCGAAGACAGCGACATGGACGCTGCTTTACTATACGGCGATTCAGATTTTGCTGCAATGGCATTTCATGGCAAGCCACACAAGTACGTCACGCACCATGCCACGACCCTCTAGAAACGTCATATCACGAGCCTCTAGAAACGTCATTACTCGAGTCGTCCCCAGAGCGGGGTCTAGCTTTGGCCTGCTCGTGGCTTTCCTACATGGCTTGCAGATACTTCCAGTCAGGGCAACGTTGCATAGAAGTCACAGTCAACGTTCAGTTAACGTTCAGTCAACGTTACAGTCAACGTTCCAGTTAACCTTGCGAAAATGCTGGCAGGGGCAGCATTTTGGAGTTTTCAAGCATAAAAAGCAAGAAATACATGTATTTCTTGCTTTTTATGCTTGAAAACTCCAAAATGCTGCCCCTGCCAGCATTTTCACAACGTTAACTGGAACGTTGACTGTAACGTTGACTGAACGTTAACTGAACGTTGACTGTACGTCAACTGCAAATTCCTACCAAATGTAGCAAAGTTGTGGAATTCTTGCGATGTTAGAATGACCTGGCTGCTGCGCAAGATGCACTGTCAGGGCTGCATGGCTCCATTAGCGAAGACAGGGACATGGACGCTGCTATACGGCGATTCAGATTTTGCTGCAATGGCATTTCATGGCAAGCCACACAAGTACGTCACGCACCATGTCACGACCGTCTAGAAACGTCATATCACGAGCCTCTAGAAACGTCATTACTCGAGTAGTAGTAGTAGTAGTAGTAGTAGTAGTAGTAGTAGTAGTAGTAGTAGTGGTGGTGGTAGTGGTAGTGGTAGTGGTAGTGGTAGTAGTAGTAGTAGTAGTAGTAGTAGTAGTAGTAGTAGTAGTAGTAGTAGTAGTGTAGTAGTAGTAGCAGCAGTAGTAGTAGTAGTAGTAGTAGTAGCAGCAGCAATGGTGGCAGCGCAATAGTAGATGTGAGTAGCAATACTGTACTGGTGTACTTGTACTTGTACTGGCACTAGAAGTAGCAGCAGCAGTAGTGGCAGTGTATCAGCAGCAGCAGCAGCAGCAGCAGCAGCAGCAGCAGGCGTAGTAGAAGTAGTAGTAGTAGTAGTAGTAGTAGTAGCAGCAGGCAGCACGGAACCCGAAAAACGACAGCTTTCTGATCGAATCACAAGGCAAGTAGGTGCCTAGAGAGGGAACCAATAAGTGTCGCCGAGGAACCGCACAAATCTGATCCAGGCGTGGGATCGCCGGGAGTCCTGGCGTAAGGTGGCGAACCTGAACCCTAAGCTGCCTGCTCTGAACCATCATTTTCAAACAACAAGAACAAGAAGAACAACAACAACCGCGAGGACGACGACCACCACCAGCACCACCGCCACAGCTACAGCAACAGCGGCAGTCATGGATATGGCGATATCTATCACGTGCATTTTCGAGCACCATCAGCCTGGTCACAACGCCAACATCTCATATGTCCAATCACCATCATGACCGCTGCTGCAGAACCATCACCGCCGTCACCACCACCAACACCACCACCCCCACCACCGACACTTTCAGTATCAGCATCAGCGTCCACGCAATCTTCTCTAACCTCAGCAGAAGCAACAGCCTGATCCTCAACAGTCAGCATCATCGCCAACGAAGGCAGCACCGCCCCATCACGACCATCATCCTCGCCATCGCCAACCCTATTACGACTCTCGTCTTGCTTCGCAAGCGTAAACAAGCAAGCACACCTCCAACTGACGGCTTGCCCTGCAGAATGTCGATGTGACCCTGCAGGAACGCCTGAGCTTGCACTGTGTTGAAAACTTGAACTTTAAAGTCATAATAACTTTTCACAACTTTGCACCATTTTACACCGGTCCCTTTGCCCTTCGGGGTTTGGAATGCTTGCTTACGGCTTGTTGTCGACAATACGAGCTGCACAGATCCTCAGCAGTGATGTCCTCTTCAAGAACCCCTGCAAACCGGAGGCAACCCTTGCTTAAACTTCAACTTCCGTACTGTATTAAGAAGCAGAGCTTCTACAAAGTTGGCCCACACGAAGATTGCAGAGTTTACACTAACGGGGCACCTCCCTACGGCCTGTACCTCAAGCTGCGCCAAAGGGCATCCCGCGTGGTATTGAAGAGCAGCCGATTGCCTGGCGTGACATGGCGCCGGTTTGCAATGCATGACATATTCTGGACAACCTAACGCCTTTCAAACACCAACACGACAAACAAAAGAAGCGCAGACCCCAAAAGTAGCCCCGAATGCCTGGTGGCTGCAAGCAAACGAAAGATCTAACTCTCTGCATCTCTGAGTCCAAATATCACCACAATGGATACCACTGGAGAAGTTTACCACATCTGCCAATGCAACAGGTACACCACGTTATGGCCTGAACTGCGTCTCATCAAGGGTCTGTCAGATGAATGCGAGACACGGACTGAAACCGCAAGATAGACAGAGAAAGAGAGAGGGAGAGACAGCGACGGCACGAGGGTGAGAGACGAGCCGAAACTTCAGGCAACTCCCGCAGAACAAAAAATCTCCAAACCCCTGTGAGTTAGGGAGAAGACCAGGTCTTGGCCCGAGACTTGTGGAGTCTAGAGGAGTCGCCATCAAATGTGAAGGTCTAGAGTGTAGAAGACTCGGATTTTGGAGTGGGCTTGGGCTTCACGGTCGACGGCTTTTGGGAGCTCTCTAACTCTGCCAGGCGCGCTGTCCGGAGAGACGCCCCCGAACACCATGTTAACCACTGTGACGAGCTTCGCAAGCATCGTCGACTGGTCGTTGGCGACCTGCTTGCTGGTGACAGAAAAACTTCTGAGGCAATACTCCAAGCCCACGACACCCGAAGTTGAACTCTCGCAACCCTCAGGGGGACCGGCACAAGAGAGCGAGATGGAGAGGGAGAGAGCACGAGGGGCGCAAAGGGAGAGCGAGCCGAGGAGTTCTGATGCTTCGGCAAAAGCATGAGAATTACAATTTCGGCCACCAAATGCAGGCCGATAACAAGGCGCTATTTCCCGGTAACACCATGTGTTTTTTGCTGCGGTTTGCAAAACTGTCGCACTGTTGAATTTGGCAAATTGCGCGGGCCCAACAGGGTCGTGCTTATTTGCAGTGTTTCGGGTGGACATCGTTCTCCGGTCAGACGTGCTCCTGAAGTCCTAGCAGGGTCACACTCGTCGGCTCCTTGGGCTTTTTGGTGCTAGCTCCGGCCCTGCGCCAGCGATGCTCCCGCCCCAGTGTGGCGCGAATTTTGGACTCACTGGAATGGCTCTGGGTACATAGGGCCTTTTACTACCAGGTGGTCTTTCGCAGTTTGGGGTCTACGGACGCACCATGAAATACGATGGTAGTAAGAAGAGGATTAGAAACGAGATGGTGGTTGAGACGCGTCGGCAATTGGAAACGAGACGAACCGCTCAGTCGATCCTAAATTACACTCAAGCATGACGTCAAGCGCACCGTACCCGGCCTGCAGAGCGTAGCCATTGAAGTTCGGCAAGCTGGTCAAGACAAGATTCACCATCCTTATTCGCCAGAGAATGGAAAAACTGCACGGACACAAGCGATCCCTCAGCCGTGCCACTGCACCGCACCTGTTATCCTCAATCTGTTACTCGGCAATCCTAGTCGCCATGTCAAGCCCTCAAGTCTTAGCCAGGAAGAAATCGTTTCAATGACATTGATTGGAAATCTTCACGTTCTGCCCGATGTCTTGATGCGAAACACGAGCCTGCTGCCACCAACACCTAGGACTTTGACGTTCGAGCTTCTGACCCCCGAACGCTTCGATGCGTCTATTGTGGTCTCTGGCAATAAGGTTTAGGGCTTATGACTTATGACTCTGCGTCTCCACTCGTGTAAGGATTAACTTTAAGCCTGCGACGCTGTGCCTGTCACCGTCAGGCACCTGCCGCAGGCGACTAGAATCGCATGTTGGGGTGTTGAACAAAGTGTTGTGCTTATGTTGGCCCCCAACTTGGTCGAAATCGCTGGAATCCTAGCAAGGCCACACCATTTGCCTCCTCTGTTCTGAAGGGTTTTATGAGTTTAGCGCGACATTCGCAATCGTGCTTGCGCCAGTCCCGAGCATATACGGCCCCCCGCAATCACGCTCCTGTGTGCATTCTCGGTGCGACTGGCGTTCTCACCTCCAATCGCGTTCCGGCAACAGTTCTGAAGTTTCGGGTTCCCAACGTCATGCTCCGGCCACAGTCTTTCGCGTGTTCTCAAGTGCCAACGGCCCTCCCGCCACAGCGGGCTGTGAATCTTGAGCCTGGACTGCTTCAGGGTATGTAGGGCCTGAACTGAAAGGCGCTGCGCTGTCTGAGGTCTGCGTTTGTGGTGAGGCTCGAATGTGTGATAAAAGGTTTCATGTTTGTTTTAGTCAGACTGAAGCGTGTGTCTACACCGCCGAATGCACCTCCCCTACTTTCTTCCAATGCCTCTCTCCACACGCGAACATGCACCAGGGAAATCAAATGTTGGAGCTTGACAAATCAGCCCAGAGTACGTAGCAAATCCCAGGCGTGGGAAGTATGGGAGATGTGACAAATACACGCAGATGTACAGCAGATACATCCTAATCATTAGATGTTCAGCTTGTCCTGCGCTCTTGTGTTGAAGACGTTAGGGGCTCCAGGTCTTGCACAGAGTTTCCGACGCGTTCGTAAAAACGAAAGCGATTGCACAGCAAAGGGAAGGCCCCAGGTTCCGCTGCGTTTTGCTGCAAGCTCCGTGTTGTCCTATTGCCGGAACCGCCGGTCGACCGACGACCACTGCGCAAGTGATCAGGCAAGCGTCGTGTCTTTGACATTCGTCAGGGTAGTGCGAAGAGCCTGGCATGGAAACAACAGGTCAGTGCAGCCAAACCGGCTCCTGTTAAAGGCAAGACCAACCAACCTAAACCATGAACCATGGGGATTGCAGGGGCTTACTTCCACAACGATTTGGGACACTGACTTGCGTGCTGCCCCAAGCTCTCTGCCTCGGATGTCTGCTCCACTTTGGTCATCACCACCAGGGAGATGCTTTCTGCCCCAACGGCCTGAAAGAAGAGTTCATGCCTTTTCGTTACGACAGGTCAGCCAGGATTTACACTTTCTTTTACGATCTTTGAGCTGTTTTTTTCCAAGCTTTGTCCTGCGATGCTCATCTAATCTGATTGACATGAAGTAAACGCACTTCCGCTACCACCAACAGAACCACGACAACAACGACTGATGCGCTGACTAACTTGTACTGCTGTTACCACTACATTACTGCGACTACATCAGCATCTGCAGCAACTGAATCACTTTTGCAATCACAACAGCGACTGAGACTTAGTTCTCATGCTACCGGCAGAAGGGCCGTCAGGCGAGTCTGAGGCGACCGAATTCCTAACCGCAAGTCGGGCGACCCAGCGAGGCTTTCCTAACGAACCTGAATCCGCTCAGATCGAGGACTCGAGGAATAAGTTTAAAGTTGAAAGCAGAAACCGCCGGCCGTGTTCAGCTCCACCGAGAGCTCCTCGGTGCTCGCAATTGAAGGCTAGCATGAGCTGCGCTAGCGTGAGGTATCTGCAAAGACTCTCCGACGTGAAGATGAGGGTTTGCGTGCGGAGAAGGCGATCGCTGTCTTAGGATGCTGAGCAGAAAAGTCCCAGGTTGCGCGGGTGTTGAGCTGAAGCTGCCGAAGCTCTCCCCACAAGGAGTTCGCTGACAGGAGGAGGTCCACCAGCCTTGCATCGAAAACACGAGTGTGGTGCAGGAGGGACTTAGAGCCACAGGTGCTGCACAGTTGGTCAAGGGCCCAAGAGCAGCAGCTTTACAGGCTCGAGCATTGTCGTTTTGTGTCATTTGAAGTTCAAACGCTTCGCTTGCTTAGCGGCTTACCGACCGGACTGTGTTTGTGCATAAGTGCACCAACATAGAAAGAGATACTTGGGACCTCACGGCGACATTATGAGAAAGGGTGTCCTAGGGTTCAATTCCCGCCAACTGTCACATGGAAGTGTTTCGATTCAGGTAACGTAACTGTTGATAGGGATGGAAGGAGCAATTCCGAACGAAGAACAACGTTGCCCGCATCGACAAGTACGAGTGGGGAGTGACACCCGCAACCATGCACATTGAGATGGGGACCAACCCTCCCCTCCTCCGTCTCCCCAAACTCAACCAAAGACCCAAGTCCCTACGTCCTAAACCGCAGCGGTTGCTGGCGCATCTGCCGGAGAAGAAAATGTGCATTGTCTAGTTCCTCACGGATAGCTGCATGTCTCGTCGGATCTTACCAGGCTACACAAGGGCCACGCTTGAAATCTTACGACGAAACTGCCGAATGCTTATCTTCTGACTCACAAGCGCAAACGTATGTGCTTCGTTCTGTCAAGAGCCATCGAGCGCTCTGTCCATTGCTCTTGAGCTGCAGGCTCAGAAGCATCTCATCTCTTGTGAAAACATGCAGAATCTCACTTGTCTTGGGTGGCGTATAGGACCGTTCTTACGTGTGGCGTGGTACAGGGATAGGACGAAATCCTTCTTATGCTTGACTGTATGAAAAGGAGCTCCTGCAATTCTGCTCTTTATAGATTTGGGGCCCGTTTCGTCTTCCAGTAGCGATCCCAATCCCTTACCGGATCCAACAGCTTCTGCCAACACTGCGCAACAGCGATCGAACCCTCAAACCCATGTGCCAAACTATCTTCCATCTACCCCAGAGACCATGGCTCCACCACAATCTACTGGCATGCCTTCACAATATTCCGCCCGACTCCCCGGCACCGCATCGTCTTCTTCTTCGAACTACGACAATCCACAGCCTTCCACGATCTTCCACCAGTGACTCCAACCCCGATGTCTTCCGGTACACATCGCAAGCAGCTCAGCAGCATGCCGTCGACCAGCAGTTCTTCAACATCGACATCTTTCACGAGCAGCAACATCAGCTGTGTTGCAACATTGTCTTGTGTCGGACCAACTAACCAACTCTGATTGAACATTGAAATGCAACAGCCATCATTCTGAATCATCATCTCGTTGCTTCTTCTGCTTGTGATCGCTCTGTTCTGTGCACGGCTAGTTCTGGTTGTACCATAAACCTTCTCGAAGTTTCTTAACCATTTCCACAGGGCAAGCAGCAGCGCAAGGTTGGCCTCTTGGGTATTCTGCTTCCAATGCTGAGAGTTTGATGTTGATTTCAATTTGTGCTGATGGCCTGCCGATGAAGTTTGCCCCATGTAATTCACCCGGTGTTGCAATCATCATCAGATTCTGCGATCACGAAACATGCATATCATTGGTTTGCGCACATTGGCTTCTGATGTGCAAGGGATTTAGACACAGGTTTGGACCTCGGGTCAGCTCAGGATGGATGGAACTGCAGTTTCCGAGCTTCGTTGTTCAACACGAGCAAAGGTTGGGGTCTGAACTAAGAACTCGGCGATCCAAGATCCCAGATCTGGTCTATCCGACAGTTCTCTACTGCATCCGTTGCGGTCGCGCGGCTCTTGTGTTGGGGGCGCTTCGATGTTCTCGGCCTTGTTGCCTGGCGGGTGTCGGGTTGCGAAAGGACGCGGTGCAACCTCTAAACCCGAAAAGATGTGGGCTGTGCAGTCGAGTTTTGGGCAGTCGGGAAGGATTCTGGGGCTTCACTTCGTTGCTTCTTGAGGGTTGAGCTTTCTGCCCGGAAGCACGTAAAAGTCCAAAGCCAGAGGTTCTGCAAAAGCTTCCTGCCACAGCGACCTTGGATGAGATTGTTCATGGTCGTCGATACCGTGGCCAGCTCCACGATCAATCCGACCGTGCCTTGTTTCGCGCATCCGATGGCTGTTTAGTCTCGGATTTCGCGTCTGCGGCTGTAGAATCTAGACTCCTGCAGGCATTCCATGGCCAGTTATTCCGAGTCCGATGTGCTTTCTGGCGAACCCCGAGACCGAACTACGCAACCGCGACCCTGAAGCACCCTGCGACAGACCGCCCCAGAGCTTCGACCTCCGAAGCCAAGTGGTGTTTCAGGCTTTATGGGTGCAGAGCCTCGAAGTGAAAGGTCTTTGGACGTAGCTTTGCAGTGGGGGATAAACCATCAAATCTCAAAGTCTGCGACGAATCTGATCTATACCCGGAAGGGAATGGAGACTGGGGGGCCAGGCTGCTGTGTCACTTCTACTGTTGAGCATCCTTCTCATATCACCCCGAACTCCATGTGCTGAAAGGCCTGAAATCCAATCAACAAACCGAGGAGCTTCCCTGAACATAGACTCCGTTCGCAATCTGCATGAAGTAGGCGACTGCGAACTGTGCCAAAGTGATGGCCTCGGTGCTGAAGGTGTTCATAGACAGGCTTTCAACTGGTGTTTCGGAAGTTTCGGGACTACTTTTTGGTGCTCAGACCTGTAGACCTCCCCTCAGCTACACCTGCACTGTCACTCGACATCAACAGCTGTAGTGGCCATGACCGCCACCACCACCACCAGCCCACCACCACCATGACCGCCAACCCTACCGTGACCGCTTCCGGCAGCAACAACAGCAGCATGAAGCGCCATCAGCACTGGCGCATGGTCGTCAGACATCTCAGCAGCAATATCAGGAAAAGAAGTAGGGAAGTGCAATACACAGCACAAACAAAATCAAAAGTGATAATGTCATAAAGAGCGTGCACCGTTGCAGCAGCACAGCAGCAAGCACAAGAGTAGCAGCACTGACAACCCGCGGAGGAAGGAAGCGGCAGCGCTAGTCGTGTTGGTTGGACGCAGTTGCGTCCCGATGACCCTGGACTCAACCCCTTTAGATGTTGGAGATACCCTCTGTTTCTATATGTAGGGTTTTGGGGTCTGCAGGCTCCGGGTTTGCAACCGAGGCACATTCCCCATGTTGAGCAAGAGAATGCTCCACGATGCTTCCGTCATCGACGCCAGGGGATCGCACTCCCCTGCATGCCAATGGTTGGAATACTGATGTCATGACAGATTGAGAATGATCACGGACCTACAAAGACAGAACACCCGGTCAAGAATAGAATCAGAAAATCACCGCAAAAAAGAACCGTACAGATTGACAACACGGGACATTGATTCACTTCACCTCACTTCATCTCTCTTCGCTGCTCAGGCTGCAAGCAACTCTCGCCCTCAATGTCCACCTGTAGGAGTGGCTCATCTCATCGTTATTATCACAACATCAAGCTGCTCAAGAAGTTGAAGCCAAAACAATGACCCGATGCAAGCTCATCGACTCAGCAGGAGACCAACAACTAACCATTGAACCTGCTCAAGAAGCAAAAAAGTCACAGGCTGTTGATGGTGGCTTTACATCAAGCCTCTCCAACACCTGACATTAACAATGATGTGCCTGGGTCGTTCACGTAGAGCGACACCGCAGCCACCATTGCTCCGAAGAGTGGGCCACTCCTGCTTCCAAAGAACCGATGGAGCAGTTACTGTAGCTGGCAACAGCAATGACCCACGCGCACCAGCGGAGCAGCTGGAGCCCTGTATAGCTGAAGGCAACTGATCGGCCAGGCTACTTCAGGCCACAGGCTATGACAAGCTTTCGTCCCAAACCCCACATGCTCAAGAACACCCTTCTACTGCATGTACTTCTGAAGCCACAACCACCATGCAAACATGCAAGGCCTTTCGGCGATTTCCGGTGCCAGGTTTAGAGCTATCTGTAAAGACCTCGGAGACAGGGCCTGCTCTGGCTCCGTTTAGATTGGTCACTGAAGGTTCTGATATCCGGATGTAGACGGATATGGACCGAAGCCCGCTAGATTTGGGTTTGCTGGGGTTAGGAGACTTGATAGATGGCTTCTGCTTGGCCCAGCGGTGTAAGGACTTTGGAAGTGCGAGGACCGGGCTTCAGGGAAGACCTTCTTCCGACAGCTCTGGACGCGAACAAGGTTGGTCCCAAGCCTTCAACCAGAGTTGCCAGTGCAGACGGAAGCCGAATGCCCCTGCCCTGATCCTTCAAACCTCGAGCTACCACTACAACAGACATTTCTCGGGCGTGTAGGTCCCAATGCCCTGTTTGGAGAATCAGTTCTACTGCCGTGGGGCTACGGCTACGTCGGGGGCCTGCTGCGGATGCCATGATGAACCGGTGATGACTGCTGAGGTTTAGCCGCTGGGGCCTCGTTCATTCGGCCAACGACCCCGGGGCTCGTTGCAGACCAAGTGTCTCAGCGACAGACTGTGCATTCAGAATTTCCTGCACTGCGAGCCGAACAAGTGGAAAAATCTTTAACCGACAAGCCCACGAAAAGCTATCCGAACCCGATACCATGACAGCTCCGCACTCTTAGCTGTCTTCGCTCCGCTGGAGCGGCTCCCTCAAGGCCAGCATGAAATAGGGTTCTCAAGATAGTACCCAAACATGGACTTCCCAATGCTCATAGTCCTACCGCTCCTTGCCGCACACACTCATCGAAACCCTACGGCACATCCGGAAGGGACACGCCAAGTTTGCATCCCATTCTGCACTCGACAGATATGGCTTGTCCCACCGTGGCTGTGCCCTTTCCACCCTCGCGCGAAAATCGCCCTGCAACACATAGACCTGGATCTCTCAGTCCGCAACACCCGAAGCAAAATCACTACGCTTCCCGCCAAGTGCTCCTGGATGAGCGGGCGAAAGAGACCGAAATTGTATGACACCTCTCAGATTGAGCTGCGATCGTGCGTTAGATTAGGTGTACATGGGCTTAGCCTAGGCTGAAGAATAGGGACTAGCGTCTTGGGATGCACGATCTCGCCGAAAAGCTGGGGGCCAGGCTTCTCGGGTTTTTGATTGGGGTTTGGGTCTGCTATGTCTGCTGAATCGCGCCTCCGCGCAGGTGTGTGAGGGTAAAGCTCACTATTCGGCTTCAGATCTGTACTGCCCGAGCCTTACAATCCCCTGTGTCAAACCCCACAGGCCCCAACCGCTGAAACCGGAAGCCCTCAGAGTCTTTGAACTCTTTAAACACCCTCTTCCCCGAAGCGTCCCTTGACTCTTGACGCTTCGCTCAAATCCGAAGACTTGAGCCCGGGCCGGGCCGGGCCGGGCTCTAGGGCGCCTCTCTCATCTGGTGGATGGTGCACATCTTGCTGAGGGTGGACACACCTCGTAGGCCACAGCCGTAGGCGCAAGGTAGGCACCAGCCGCAGCAAAGTCAACAGTTTCCAAGTCCGTGATAATCAAAACCGAGACTAGAACACCGTCAACCCTCACGATAAGAATAATGTGACAACTGTGTCGTTACTATCATTCCTTTTCGAGTGTCTTTGTCGTTGCAGCAGCGCGGACAGACAACTTCAATGTGCAGGATAAAACACACTTGGCAAAATCTTACCACATTCACAACCTTTCTGCCAGCACGCCATAAACAAAGTTGTGTTTGCTAGATTGGTCATTGCAGTGACGCTGCAGCAGTGATAGTCGTAGCATTAGAAAAAGCCGCAGGAGCAGGAGCAGGAGCAGGAGCAGGAGCACGAGCAGGAGCAGGAGCAGAAGCAGGAGCAGCAGAAGGAGCAGTAGCAGTAGGAGTAGTAGCAGTGGTAGTAGTAGTAGTAGTAGTAATAATAATAATAATAACAGTAACAGTAACAGTAACAACAATAACAATCATAGTCATAGTCATAGTAATAGTAATAGCAATAGTACTAGTACTAGTAATAGTAATAGCAATAGCAATAGCAATAGTACTAGTACTAGTAATGGAGTGATAGTAATAGTAATAGTTTTTACAATAGTAATGGTAACAGTGATAGTAATAGTATTTATAGCAGTAGTAGCACCAGTAGTAGCAGCGACCGTAGTAGTAGTAATAAGAATAATAAGAACAGCAGTCGCGCTGTTACAAGTACTAGCAGCAATGGCAGTGTTGGGAGTAGTAGCAGTAGTACGCGGAATATAAGTAGACAAATGGGCAGGACATGGCAGCTTTGGACACCCAACCCAAAATCTTGCAATCCCCAAACCCGAAGAAGCCCTGTGCATTCCTTGCCGAAATTCAGCGCCAAAACTCTGCCTCGATGCTTGTCTCACGTCTTGATCTGTAGAGATAACTCGGAACTCTGCTGGCAGCTCTTCCCCGGGCCTGCCCAGCGGGCACCCTGGATGATCCCTTCATGGGAGGTGACGAAGAGATTCCTGAAAGGCTTGCAGATGCAAATATTCACAATATCAACGGAAAAACCATGTACAAACCAAGTATGTAGCAAGAGTGTAACAAAAAGACGGCTGCATACTTATGACTCGAGGAATGTTGACGCACGTCATGTTAGAACAGAACATGGTACGCAACGGTACGTTACGACTCTACGATGCTCTGTGAAACGATGGCGATGATGATGGTGATGATGGTGGTTATGATGACAGCGATGGCTATGATGACGACAATGCTGGTGGCAATGATGATGATGATGATGACGATGATGGTCATCGTCAATATGTATGAGGACGGTGATGGCTGTTCTGAAGACAGTGCTAGTGCTAGTGGCCATGACGACAGCGATGGTGACCTCCCACTCCTGCTGCTTCTACTACTACTGCTTCTTCCATCACCACTACCACTGCCCCTGCCACTGTCATTGCCACTGCCACCACCACCACCACCACAACGACAGCGACTTTGACGACGACGACTATTTACTACAGTTCCTACAGATACCAGTATCACAAATACTACAGTTGCTGAAGCGTTGCGACAGTTACTACAACTACTACAGTTACAATCACAACTATTAGTGCAGCTACCACTACCACTCCCACTACCACTACCACCATCACCCCTACTCCTACTCCCACTCCCATTCCCACTACTACTACCACTCCGCCTACGATTGCTACTACTACTACTACTACTACTACTGCTACTGCTACTGCTATTGCTACTGCTACGACTACGACCACTACTACTACTACTACTACTACTACTCCTACTACTACTACCACTACTGCTACTGCTACTGCTACTGCTACTGCTACTACTACTACTACTACTACTACCACCACCTCAAGCACCTGGGCTCGAACGACGAAACGTAGTGTGTGTGTGTGTGCGCGTAGAAGTAGGCCGCAGGATGGTGCACCTACACCTTCTCCTCCTCCTGGCCTTTCTTCCCCTTTCCAATCCCCACTCCCTCTATCTGAAAGCCGCTGGGTCCAAACTTACGTCCCCGGCCGGTCTGCACTGGCGCGCGAGGCACGAGCCCCAGCCTGCACAGAGGCATTGCACAAGCTTAAGCAGCCAGACCATTCCATGCCTTCCTGGTTCTCCTGCCCACACCTGCAGGCTCAAGCTGTTGTCTAGCTCTCGCCGGGTCTCAATAATCCCACACGGCCCTGCTGTATCATGTCGCAAACACCATCAGGTATACCGTCAGCGGCGGCTGGATCGCCTCCACCTACAGAACACGCTGACCTCACAGCGGCGTTGGCCAGCCTACATCAGACCTTGGACAGCACCATTGTCAGAGAGCGATATCGAGCTGGTCTGCATAATCAGGTCTGGAACACCAACAACTGGCACTCTGTCGGCTCAACTTTGGCTACACGTCCTCGTCCTCTACAGACCACGACAGAGCTCAGGGAACCTCAGCCATCTCTGGCCCAACCAGGATCCCCAGACTCCATTGACACGGCGGACCTCCTGGCAGCAGCGGAGGAAGCGGAGCGGACCCTTGCCTCATTGGCAGGGACTCCCACCGGGCCAGCTATATCTGCCGGCTCCACTCTTCCACTACGAGCCCGCTCGAGATCTCGTTCCCCTACAGGACCGACGACTTCCACCCAGGCCTCAGGCCCGCACTCGTCTAAAGACAAGTCCTGCTGAGCGCCACCATTACCAAGCGACCTGGAGCCGCAGTACCGACCCCGAAGCTGCCACAGGAAAAGGACCCCCATGGCTCACGTCCTTCAACTGCGTCCCTAGCCTCCTTGAACCCCACCCCCGCCTGCCCCACCTCTGCCTGGGCCCAGGTGCACCCACCGGAAGGACATTTAAGCCCGACGCCCGCGCGGAAACCTGTGCCTGCTGGAGTCATTTCACCTCTGCCCGTGCACCCAGGCTAGAGGAGTCCTCGCCTGCGGTGGTCTGTCCCTCGGACCAGTCCACGGCATACACATGTGCCGCTGTTGCTGTCTTCCCACTTGCTGACAGGGACACTGCACCTGCCGAGTCGGTGCCTCAAAGCCATCATAAGACCCCACGGACGCCGTTCGCCACGACAGTCCTCAGTTGCACTGAAAGCACAGACTCGCCCCTGCAGGTTACTCCAGACCACCCGCTTACACAGCCCAGGCCGACTCCACAGCCCAGGCGCCAACTGCCTTCGTCTCTGCTCAAGGTCTGCACCACTCCTCTGCCCTGGCTCATCCCACCTCTGCCGCAGCTGGCTGCCTCTCAAACTGCCAGCCACACCAGGCCCTGCCTTGCCAGTGCACCTAGGGCCTCATCGACCATGCCGCGCTCAGATGGCAAACGCAGGCGAGACCAGTCCCGCCCTGGCAGGCTCAACCGCCTATACACCCAGGACATCAGAGCAGTCCGACATCCCAGAGAAGCAGTGCCTCCGCCCCGCACGATCTATGCAGAGGCTTTTTACCACCGCTCGGCAGGCTGGATGCAGCGCATACATGAGGAGCTCATCCGGGAGCAACTGGACGAGACGCAAAACACCCGGTCTTTTGGAACCCTACGACTCAGGTCCATCAGCCGCTCTCGCCCAAGATCTCCTTCTGTCCTCCCTGACCCCAGGACCAGAGCTACCTCACGACCGCGGCGATCACGCAGCGCCGAGCCCTGCCGAGTCGACCCCCGAGGTGCCTCGCCCAGGCCACTTTCCAAACAAGCACGGCCTCGAGGTACACCGTCACCGCCCAAGAAGCCGCGGCGGACTACTTCGCCTAGCAGTACCCCAAGGAAAATGGAGAATCCCCCTGGGAACAAGACTCCACCATCCTGCAGACCTGCTAGGACGCCCACAAGACCAAGACCGCGACCCAAAATCCCAGGACCTCCACCTATGCCGCGGATCCTGCACAAGCAATGGCGAGCCGACCAAGGTAAACCACAGGATGAGGACAGCTACTCCTACTACACGGACTCTGAACCGGCGACAGCCAGACCCTCTCAGGCCGATCGCTCCCGTGAGCCCCGGGCATCACCTGCCCCTGGAACCAAGAGCAGTCCTTTGCAGGCGGGTGAACTCATCACCCGACTCCTCCAGCCTCCCACGAGACCTCAAAGCCCGCACTCCTCCTCCTCGCAATCTACTACCAGCCCTGCCCAAGACTGTCGGTGCCCCAGTTCCACTCATGTTCAGCAAGATCGACCTGTCTCCTGTGCCATGCCTGCCCCAAGGAGAGCCAACGGCTGCTGGTCTTACCCTCAGCTGTGCGAAGATTTTCCAGCTATGACACTGCCTGCGCTGACCCGCCGAAAATCATCCAAAGTCAGACTGGCGTGTCGGCACCACCTGCCGCGATCCTCTCAACCAGTCCAGCCTCCTGGGCCCTACCCTGCAGGGCATCCGTCGCGGCCACTGTCCGCGATCACAACCCTTGGCACCGCCAGCCTCGGCCTGAGCCCTGCTGAGTTCTGCACCTCCATGGTTTGCTGTACACAACATGGTTCACAAACCGTAGTGGTGGCCCAAGACTGTCAGGGATCCCCTAGAAGCCTCTGCGAAGCCTGTCCTGACTTATGGCACCTCGGGATAAGGATCGCACACCGCGACGGGGTGCGGCGGCGGGATCCGCTGCTCTGGCCACCCGGCCCAACCGGGCGCGAGGACGAGGCCGGAGTGTGGCGAAGGCGAAAGCTGCACCAGAGCCAGAGGCGCCGGAGAGCTCCAGTGAAGAAACCACGACCACTGGGGACAGGGAGCTCCGGGCGAGGCTGGCGCTCAGCAGCCCAGAGGATGAACCGAGTGCACCAGCCACCGGCTCAGCTCCACGAGGACCCCCGCCTCCAACTCCGATCAACCTTCCACCACGACCAGCTGCAACGGGACCAACGCCCTCTACCGCATCACCTGCGGCCACTGTGGCGACCACCTCGCATCCTATGCTGCCACCTCCGCTGCCACCTCCAACAGCATCAGCAGTGCTGCCTCCAGCGACGGCCCCACCAGGAGGAGACACCATGCCGATCCCCTTGCCTACAGCATCTCGGCCACCTGCACCTGGACCACATGGAGCCGCACATGGACCGCCTCCGCCTACCCCAGCTGGGCCCCACCATGGAGGACCTGTTGGCAGCCACACAGAAAGACCTGCTGGAGCACCACCTGTGCCGAGACCTCGCCCTGATCCACATCCGACCATGTGCCCCATAGGCACTGGCACTTCTGCAAGACACCTGGATCTGCCCTTCTTCCGGTTCACTCGGACGCCGCGATGCAACAGCCTCAAAACAAACGAGCCTCCGCAAGTAGATGCCCCGTGCGTAGTCTGCTGCCACAGAAGCTGCCCATGTTATTTAAGGGGTCTGGTCAAGGGTTCGGCCACCCCTGCTCCCACTCTCAGGCCTGCGCTGCTGGAGCTACTCCATCCAGCCGGAACCTTATTGATGCAATGGCCCGACTGACCTCCCTGACCGAAGTGCTGACACTGCAGGCCGGAACCTCTAACCATGCCCAGTGCGCCAGCCAAGTTCGGGAAACCTGTCTCTGCTCCTCCAGCGCTGGAACCTGTGTTCCGCATCGGCACCGACCTAAACACCTGTGCACAGGTACCCCTGACAGGTCCTCCCCACCCTCAGGAGCAGCAGACCACAGCCTTGCACCAGATATGCAGCGACCTCGGCCTCCAACCTGCTCTGTGCACAGCCCGACTATGCAGGCACCAGTGTCTGTACGACTCGCATCTCACCCATGCTGGCTCAAGTGCTCACATCATTGCATACTGCAATACACATGCATGACAGCGCTGGTGACTCGAAGACCGCCAAGACTCTCTTCCCTAGCGACGAGTGCCGACAATTCTTCGCAGGACCTCCAATATACTGCCGTAGGTAACATAGGCCTGCCTAGGCATCGTAGCCCTGACTCCAGTGCCCCCTGCGTCTGGCACTGTGCAGCATGGCCCCGGTCATCCCGATCAACCCCAAATGGCTGCTGCGGACACACAGAGCTCGCCAAGGTGGG